CTGTATTTGTCAAACATACTGACAAAGTTACCCAAAAGTAACGGCTGGTAATTAACACGACTACATTTCCCAAGATAAAAAAAGACCACTTTCACATGTTATATTTAAACAAACTATCATGCCGCTACCCGATAGCACACACACACACACAGCACAGACATTGTGAAAAATGTCTTCAAGATGTTGATGATATTTACTGTACACCAAACTGTACGTCTGTATGCGATCCGGCATAGCTCTACCCAAGTGTTGTTTATTGTACATTTGTTGCGATGCTAAAAAGGTTCAACCCTACACTGTAAAAAACATAGATCATGTATGTTATCACGTATGCAGTTAGCATAAATAGATTTAAATTCCTATATAAATATACTTCTTATATGTGGTTGTATTTATGTTTTGTACTACTTGTGTCAACAATCAATACCCACAGCGCTTGATCTAGCCCTAACGATGCTCGTATGAGATCTACACGCGCCCCCACATGTATATGGAATATGGCTGTTAAACGTGAAGGAAAACACAACGGCGGATGCGGGGATGTAACTAGTAAAGTGATTGTCATGCATTAATTTATCCTAATGTATGATGACAAAATCTTATTTGGAGTATGAAAATAAACGCGAGCCCTATGTGTTAATCTACGCTAAGTGACGGGTGAGATTTTCGGACGCGTGTCTGAAGCAACAGCCACACGTTCGTGATTCGTGAAGCACGTGAAATGATAAAGTTAATGTTTTTTTGCTTAATATAGCTTGCTGTCACATAAGTACATACTTTACGCAACTTTTTAGTTTATCTACAAAAATGCAACTCTATTTAAGTTCACATGTAAACCTGGCACTTTCTAAGTGAATGCAGAAGATAGTTCTTCCAAAACCAGATGCATAATCAAATCATCTTAAATTAACATGACAGAAACTACATCTACGTTTTCTAAAACGTCTCGCATGGGAAATTACAGTATGATGCAATCTTGCAAAATGAACGAGATTTTACTGTACAGATATTAACAATAAAAATAGTGCATTCACAAACATGAATACTGTATTGTTCAGTACTTAAATCGAGAAATCACCGGTGTAAAAATGAAAACCACTAACACTTCAGCGTGAGGTAATGGAAATGCATCCAACACTGAGGCCCAAATCTAAACTCACAACTTTATAGCCTGTTTAGTGTTATAATTCACTTCTTAAGGCCTGTTCACATCAAGTATGATAACTTTAAAAGATAACAACAAAAACTAAAAATCAACAACAGTTCAGACCACATCTGTAACGAAAAGGATGAAGGGAAACACAAGTATTGGAATCAATTTCAGAACTGATAAACAATAACCCTGCGGGGTATAGGACCTCAATATGAAGTCAGATTGATGTTATACCCCAACATCGTGGGGACGTCGCATTTTGTTTGCACACGAAAATCGTGTTGACGTCAATGTCCAACCTAAAATCAACCAAATATCAACGTCTAAAGTCTGATTTATACTTCTGCGTCAAGCGCACGTGTATCCTATGGTGTGGCCTATGCATTGGCCGCATAGGCCTCGTCGTGGCTGTCGGTGTCGCAGACGTGCACCTCTCAAGAAATGTAACTACACGTCGCAACGACGCGTAGCGCAAGCTATGTGATTGGTCAGCTTGGTAGCACTGACGATTGTGGGTCGGACCGTGAGACGTGCGAGCCCGATGGAGCGAGTGTTTACAAGTGTGGAGTTCTGTGAAGGAGCTCCGGATGGAAAGTTTTGTTTTGTGAGTACCTCATGGTTAAAGTTGTTGCACGTCCGCCGGTTCAGGCCTCAAAATTAGCGATGTTGAACCAGTTGTACATTCAGGAAGCATTCAGAAAAACAAAACACCAGCGAAGAAACTCGACACAGAGGAACATTAACACCTCACTGCCAACTAGTGTTTCGGAAGTGTTATGCAGAGCAACAGAATCAGCGCGCCGAAGTTTAAATGCACAGCTGCGAACGTTGCATGCGCCGTGGGTCACGCCGATCACTTGACGCAGAAGTATAAACCAGGCTTAATGATCTTACAAATTGACATTATCACTATGACATCTATCAGACGTTGGATTTTGGCTGACATACCTGATGGATAAATGTCTTATTAGTATTTGACGTCAATATGACGTTGGTTTAAGATGTTGGCTCGACATTGGATTTTGGTCACTTTCCAACACAGCCTAAAATCAGCGTCACTTGACGTCGTTTTTAAACATCAAATTAACGTTACCACTATGACATCTATCAGATGTTGGACGGAGAAATGTCTTATTAGTATGTGACGTCAATATGACGTTGGTTTAAGATGTTGGCTCGACATTGGATTTTGGTCACTTTCCAACACAGCCTAAAATCAGCGTCAATTGACGTCGTTTTTAAACGTCAAATTAATGTTGTCCTTGGATGCTGATTAGACATTGAATTTTGGCCACCTGATGTCATGACTGACATCTAACCCAATAATGACGTCTTATGACGTCATGTTGTATGTTGTGTGCCTGCTGCCTGCCAGTCTGAATCCATTAAAACTTTATATAAAGATAATGACGATCTACAAAACAGTTGGTTATACCATGCGAAATAATAGTAAAAATAGATGGAAGCTGTGCAAAACCAGGTAAGCAAATTGTTTTCAGTGCTAGTTTCAGCGTCTTTGTGTTTCACTCGCTCACTATCCTTCGGCGTAGTCCCTGATTTATCAGGGGTCGCCACAGTGGAATGAACCACCAATTACTCCACTATATGTTTTAAGCGGCGGATTTGTTTTTATTCAACTACACTTGTTTACAATTGGTATATTGGTTTAATTAGATAGGTTACAGGCCCGTGTCCCGCCTGGTGAAAGCAGTGGTTTTCGCAAAAAGTTAGCATTTTTGTAGTTATTTGCCTCATTTGCTATTTAATCAGAAAGGTTTAAATTCGGTATGTGAAATTTTAAGCATTATTTTTGTGCTTAAAATAGCACAGAAGCTTGTCGGATGGTTATCGAAAACACACTGTTTGATGTGACAAAAGCATTTCCTAAAGTTTTAGAATAAAGATGTATGAAAACAATGCTTATTTTTAAAGTACAAAATTAAGAATCTGTCAAAGTTTAAATGTTTTTAGGCAAATAACAAACTGGCCAGCACATTCAACTTTCCTGTTAAAATTTGGGATGCAGATTTTGGCACGGTGTGACTTCAGAACGGGAAATCACGCCATGCCAAATTCAGCATCCCAAATTCTGTAAGGACAGCCAACACAGGATTCCTCTTAAAGCCTTTCTTGATGGGTTATTTTCACAATTTGTTATTGAAAAGCAGTCAAAATAGGACATATGAGCTCATGTATGGGACAAATTCAGGATTCTTTTTCATGTCTTTCAAACAACCAGAACCCACACTGGCTGGATTAAACGAGTTGGATTCACTGGTCAATTGCGCTGGTAGCACACCTGCTGGCCAAACGAGGTAATGCAGAATAAAAAGCACAAACTAAAATGAAAGTATCATCAGAGTATACGCAAATATTTATTGTTATATTTATAGCTATTGTGTTTGGTGTGAACAGGCCTTTACAGTTAACTATCAACTAACCAAACCATGGGAGTTCAACCAACTCTTTCATTAGGCAGGCATAAGCTCTGCATGTGCCGAATGCTTCAGCGGTTATAAAGGCACACCCTTTTTATTTATCTGCTTAGGCTGCTTCAACTATGGAGACACTGGACGAATACACTGGAAAACACATCTGTTAATAAACAGCTGCCGTATTTTGTGTTTCTGTTTATTTGCGGTTGTGAATTGCATCATGGGATGTTGATCTCTGCCCTGTCTATTTTTGGTGTGGAAAATTCAACTCTACAGGTGACTTTCATTTTAGTTGCTTGGCTTAATATAATGTATAAGGAAAAATCTGTAGAGAAATAAGTCTGTAAAATAACAGAGAATGTGCTGGAGTTTATTACAAGGATTCTGTAGCGTAATACAAAACACCAACCCAGACAATATAGCACTGCAGACTAATATAAATGTTCATAAAAGTCACTTTTTCCAACTTTCCAAAGGGTAAACGTTATCAGAAGAAAGATCAAGATCCCATAATGCAATTCAAAAGCAGAAATAAATGGGCAGAAATAAAAACATGAATCACAAAATACGAAAAAACTGCTAACTTTTGGATATTTTTTAGTGTATACACACATACACACGCACACACACACACACACACACACACACACACGCACACACGCACACACGCACACACGCACAGAGATATGAACGCAACTCTAGCTGATATTCCTCTATGGAGCGTCAGAGAGTTAATAATGATGCGCTTGCGGACATCGCTACAGCTGCTAAAAAGACGGACGCTTCCCTCCGGCGGATACACAGTGTGTGGATTGGGGAAGGGCTTTAGTGGGAAAGCAATAGTCATTCATACTACACTAGCGTATAGGCCCACACCGAATCTGCGCCCACAGAAATGCGCGGATACTTCAAGCCCATCATTGAGTCTGTTTATTTACTTATGCAAGTATGTGTGTGTAAACACATGCAGTTGAAGTCTAAATTATTCGCCCTCCTGGCAGTTTAGTGCTCGCTTTTAAAACACTTCCCGAATGATGTTTTTCACAGTATTTTCTATAATATTTGTTCTTGTGGGGAAGGTCGTATTTGTTTTATTTGGGCTAGAATGAAAGCAGTTTTTAATTGTTTTAAAATCATTTTTAGGTCAATATTATTAGCACCTTTATGCAATATTAGTTTTGGATTTTCTACAGAACAAACCACTGTTATACCATGAATAATTACCCTAACTTTACCCTAATTACCCTAGTTAAGCCTTTAAATGTCACTTTAAGCTGAACACTAGTGTCTTGAAGAATATCTAATATTATGTGCTGTCATCATGGTGAAGATAAATGAAATCAGTTATTAAAACTATTGTTTAGAAATGTGTTGAAAACAAAATCTTGTTTCCGTTAAATAAAAATTGTGAAAAAACATCGATGAGGGCTAATGATTCTGACTTCAACTGTACTTATTCAGATTATTTATTAATTAGAGCCATATTATTGGACGATATGCAAATGTTTGCAAATATGATTTATGCGCAATACTATTCGATCTTTAAGTAGACATACGAAAGACTTTGTTTAGCAATCAAGTAGTTCTACTGTAACTGGTTTTGCATTGTAAACCTTAACTAAAAAGTACTTTCGTTAAATTTCATGTGTTACGTTTTTAGTTGCTATACTCTAGACATCACTCCGAATATATCTGCAGATTTTATACTAATTTCTGCACAGAAATGTCTACAAATGTCCGCAGATTCTGTCTGGCCCTGCTAGTAATCTAGTGTTAATACTGATTAGTTCTACTTCATGCAGCACAAGGAAATGGCACATTTAAATCTGGATAAACAAACAAACACACTCTACAAATAGTGAAAAAAAACGTATTGTTTTAAAGACAGTAGCATCATGATGCTGATTAAGACTGGACTGGCAGTTTTTTTGTGTTAATCAGTGTTGTTTTGGTTCATTTAGGTGGGCTGGACCGCTCGATGGTGGGCTTTCTGTTGACATACGTAGCCCAGTACCCCAGATTAAAGATGAAGAAGAGCACTGGAAAGATGATACGGGAGATCTTGTCCACTTTGCTGACCCGGTTGTATGATTTTCTTCCTTCCGGCACGTATTCTCCATCCATTTTGGGCAGCCGGACCTCCCGAACGGGCTGAGGTGGAGTAGATGTGGTGGGCGTGGCGCTCTTGGAGATGGTGGTCAGGCCGGGATCTTTGACCACACTCATGCTGTAAGTTGTGCCCACGATGTTAAAAGTGTTGTTGGTTTTCTTGGAGAAAGACGCAGATTCTCGTCTCTGTGGAAGAATCAAAGGGAAACAATATGATTATGAATATATGGTCATTAAAAGGAAAGAAAGTGCCAACTACCTTGAGTGCATGAGGATGATCCGGCGTAGCCTTCTTTACCATATCATAATGCTCACCTCTCAAATAATGCAATTACACAACATTTAAATATTATCACTTTTGATTATTTATAATAATGGTGTTCTACTATTGTCTAGGTTCAGTTTTTATTCAATAAACCAGTCAAATGAAGCCACGTTATGAGTTGCAGCGTCCTCTGCTGGACAAAATTACCAGTGCAGCATTGCTTCTCTTACATCAGGGGTGTCCAAAGTCGGTCCTGGAGGGCCGGTGTCCTGCTGATCTTAGCGCCAACTTGCTTCAACACACCTGACTGGAAGTTTCTAGTATATCTAAGAGCTTGATTAGCTTGTTCAGGTGTGCTTGATTAGGATTGGAGCTAAATTCTCCAGTACACTGGCCCTCCAGAACCGAGTGTGGACACCCCTATCTTACATGATCCCTGCTAAAAAATCCAGCTTAAACCAGCCTAAGCT